CACCACCACTCATCACCACCACCAAAGCTTTCATTTAGCTACTGTCAAGGATATCTTTGAAGATCAAGGATATCCATTTAAAGATGAAGGTGTAAGTTCAAAAGTGGTCAGGTGGAGGTGTGCAGAATATGAGGTCTATGATGGGGTGCTGGTGTTCAGGGTCCACCCTAGAGTTGACGTAGGACTTGTTGCCTCCCCCGTCTGCTTCTGTGGGACGTGCTGGTAACCAAGTCTGCATGGTGGACCACATGATGGAAGTGAGAAGTGGGCTTCTCTCCTTGAAGGACAGTTCTTGAGGTATTGCTGCTCCCACTTTATGTAATAAAACTTCTTTCTTTTCCTTTAGGTCATCTGGCATTTGAAACGTTTTGTTTCCAATGAAGAGGAACCATTTCAAAGGCAGCAGAATGTAGAAGTCTTCACGGGCATCTCCGCGCATGGACCCATGGGAAGACCATGATAGCGTCTAACTTCCTGTGTGTTTCCATGTTGTCCAGTGATAATTCCTTCACATTATTATGCTCCATGGGGAAAACCTGAAGGAGAGGCACACCTCCTCCTGAACTTGTGTCTTCCCGATCATTCTCGTGACCTCTGTGGAGTATGACCACTGGGGAGCCCAGCCTTGCCTTGTCTTTCAGAGCTGAACCAAAGAAGGCCCACCCTCACTCTCCGGTGCTTCTGTCCATTTTCCTGATTGTTTCTGCTGTGTGTGCCTTCTGGCCACTGTATATAGTCACCAGACGGCCGTAGTTTGCCAGCACTGCGTGCTGGCATCTGGACACCTTTCGGGCTGGCCCATGCCCGCTAGGCCAGAAGTCCAGGGGCACTAAGATGAGACACTGCATCAACTGCTGCATCCAGCTGTTCCCGGACGAGGCGCACACACCGCTGGCCGGCTGCCGAGGGGGCCCCCACCCCAGCAGCCAGGCGTGTCCCGCGTGCGGAGGAGAAAACAAGATCCTGTTCCGTGTGGGCAGCAGGCAGATGAACTTGCTGGCTGTGCTCGAAGTGAGGACGGAAGGGAACGAGAGCTGGGGCGGGTTTCTGCGCTTCAAAAAGGGGAAGCGATGTAGCCTCGTGTTTGTGCTGGTGATCATGACCTTGGTGATGGCATCTTATATCCTTTCTGGGGTCCACCAGGAACTCCTGATCCCCTCGCCTTTCCATTATGGAGGCTTCCCCAGTAACCCCGGTGCGATGGACAGTGAAAGCCCAGGTGACCTAAAAGGCCACCACCACCAGCCCTCTGTAAATAACATCTCGTACGTGAAGGATTACCCAAGCATTAAACTGATTATCAACAGCATCACGGCCAAGGTCGAGTTCACAACCAGACAGCTCCCAGACCTGGAAGACCTCAAGAAGCAGGAGATGCATGTGAGTAGCCTTGGCCCAGTCACCACTGGCTGGACTGATATGTGACGCCTCAGCTCCTCTTCCACTCGCCCAGTCATTCCCCTGTCCTTTCCCAAATCATGGGGTTTTGATCAAAGTATCACTTTCTCTTCCCAAATCATCTTCATTTTGAGGAATGAATGAGTGTCCTCCCTTAAGTCACTGTCTTTGGGAACACGGGAAGTAAGTTACCAAAATGTTTCTCAAGGCAACAAGGAGCCCTGGTGGTACAGTGAAGCAAGCATTGGGCTGCTAACTGAAAAGTCAGTTGTTGAATCCCCCACCTGCCTTATCGGGGAAAGGTGGAGCCATCTGCTCCCGTTAAGATTTGCAGCCTCAGAAAACCGACTGGAAGGGGGGAGGGGATCCATGACTCGGGACCAGCTTGATGGCTGAGTGTTTTTTGGTTGGACCAGGGAGCCTCCTGCAAAATCTCCAAAAATGATTTGTAGCCTTGCAAACCTCATGGGGTAGTTGTATCGGGGCTGTTCTTTGTGGCTATTGTGTATTAACGCGTCAGAACTGATTCGTAGCTGACCCTCTCGTGGATTTTCAGAGGCTGTAAGTCATACAGGAGGAAACTGTCCATCCTTCTCCCACAGAGCGGCTGGTGGATTTGAACTGCCTGCCTTTGGGTTGGCAGGGCAGCTCCTGACTACTGTGCCACCAGTGCCCCCTAGAGTCTGTCTTAGAGGCTGTTACGAGTCGGAGTTGACAGCAGTGAATTGGCTTGGTTTTTAAAAACCACGGGTCGTTGCAAAGTCTTTGGATCAGCTTACACGGCAGAGTGAAATGCTGGGAATCCCGGAGCCTCAGTGTCCTGGCCACTGGCTGGAAATGTCCCAGGCCACCTCTCACAGCGCCTCCCGGCTCTGCCTCCATGAAAACCGAGCAGGGCCGCCATGCTGCTGTGGCCGGTCGCTGACCACCGATCACCGTCGTCTGGAGTCTAAAGTTGAGGTCCATTGGCTGTCCTGTTCCTGCTCTGTTATAATTAGTATTATTGTCAGCACTGACCTCGAACTCTCCAACAAGTAAAATGATTCCCACTGCTCAATTTCATTAGATTGCAGTGTGTCCATTATCACGTTGGGTGGTTTATGTTTCCACATTGTGGGAATGTGCACAACGGAAATGCACACTCCCATGGTCCTGACACGCGGGACCCAGCAGTGCCCACGTGTGTCCAGCTCTGTGCCAGCCGCTGGCCGCCCCCGAATCAGCAGGGAAGGGCTTCAGAGTTAACTCTTCCCTTCATTCTCTCCACATTTTATCCCGAGATAAAAAAGAATAAAAATGCTATATTGTATTCTTTTAAAATTTTAATTTTTAGAAGAGAATTATAATTTATTCGTTCATTTTTTTATTTACAGTTTTAGTTCTTTCCTTTAAAATTACTTCTATATTTATTTTTATAAAGATGATGCTGTTCTTATTTATCTTGAGAGGAGAGCAGGAGTGGCCGGTTCTGTTTGCCTTCTGTCACTTGGGATCGTTGTCAGAGGACACGTGAATGTGGACGTTGTGGAAATTTCAGGACATGCCCGTTCTTGGTTGCTGATACCCCTCATCCTGGGGCCTCTCTCATTTCTCTGCAGATGTTCTCCGTCATCCCCAGCAAATTCCTCCCCAACAGCAAGAGTCCCTGCTGGTACGAGGAGTTCTCGGGCAGGAACACCACCGACCCCTACCTGCGCAACTCCTACGTGCTGTATTCCAGAAGGTTCCGCTCCACCTTCGACGCCCTGCGCAAGGTCTTCTGGGGCCACCTGTCCCACGCCAACGGCAGGCACTTCCGCCTGCGCTGCCTGCCCCACTTCTACATCATAGGGCAGCCCAAGTGTGGCACCACGGACCTCTATGACCGCCTGCGGCTGCACCCCGAGGTCAAGTTCTCCGCCATCAAGGAGCCCCACTGGTGGACCCGGAAGCGGTTTGGTGAGTGAGGGTAGTGCTGGTGGGAGTGAGAACCCCCTGGTGAGGGCAGAGACCCCTCACTACTTCACCCCTCACTGCTGAGTGTTGACACTGTCTAGGCTTCACAGACTGCGGCTGCTCGAATGGTCTGCTTAACATACAGACTGGATATGAATGGGGAAGGGATACAATGATGAAGTACACCCTTCCTGCTTTTAAATCATGTCTTGTTCCCTTGTTTAGTCAAACACCTGCTTCTTGGTCTCTGTGTAGGTTTTGCATGAGCCCAGCTAAGTATTCTGGGATTCTCATTGGGAAGAATGGTGCCATAATTTGTTATGATCCACACAGTCAGACGCCTTTGCATTGTCAGTAATGCACAAGTGGACATCTTCCTGGTATGTTTACACTAGAGTCTGGTAAAGGAGCTCTGGGGCCAAAAGGTCAGCAGTTCAAATCTGCCAGCTGCTCCATTGGCCCAGGATGGGCAGTTTAGAGCCGTGGAAACCGATGCAAGATCTCCGGGAGATGGCCCGGAAGCGGCTTTGGTTGGAGTTGGGTGGTCTGTAAAGTAAGTCACAGCATGATGGGAAAGTCTGCATGGTGGTGAGAACCATGCAAAGGTCACACGGAGACGTGAAGTAAGCACATGCTGCTGGGGAAGTGGCACTGGGGAAAAGTCCGTTGATTTCCCTGTGCAGGGCTGCCACTCGCCTTCTGTTTATATTGTTACCGTGTGTGCCGTCAAGTTACAACTGACTCACAGCTGACCCGCCAGTGGGTTTTCAGAGGCAGTAAACTGCATTTCGAAGAAGTGCAATAGGGAGGGAACCTTGTGCCCAGCCAAGGGAAAGCAGGCATGCAGAGGGCATTCTTTGGGGTCAGGGATTCTCACTCCAGCTAGACCTCCAGCAGCAGGAGCCATGGCGGAAGCAGAGGCCCAGAGGCCCAGCATGAAGGGGGGCTGCCCTTTGGATTGCTTTCCTCCAAGGAACCAGGGCTACGAGCCTTTGCCCAAGTGTGTAGGAAATCTGGGGGAGAGCCATAACTGGTAGACCTGAGAGCTTTGTAAGGCGGCCTGAAGCTTTGAGGCTCAAGGCTGAGGTCGCTGTCAGCACCTGTCAGCACCTGTCAGCAGCTCTCTTGACAGTGATTGTAGTCTGCTAGTTACCTGGATGATAGGCTTTTGGCTTCCCCTCAAAGAAAGAAGTGCAAAAGGACGAGGTGTGCTGAAAGTTGGTAAAGGAGAAGATCAGACCCCGGCTGTGAGCCTTTCTGCGGTGCCAGAGGAGTGCGGGCAGGGAAGGGACACAGAAGTTGTCTTCTCTCCTTGCCCCTGAGAGTGGACACTTGGTACCAGCCGTGAAGGGGAATCTACCAGGTGTTGGGGCTGTGAGAAGAGGTGCATCATGTGGGGGTGTCTGCTCGTGACTCTGCTGTCGACCAGAGCCTACTCCCCAGGACAGAGGAGAGAGAAGAAAACCTGTTTCAGCTCCCTCCCTCCTGCAGCAAGAGGCCTTGACCATGTCCTACTGCCTCGCCCTCCCGAGTGTCTCATGGAGTGGACGGCCATCTGGGGCCCTGCTTCAGCGCCGCACCCACCCTGCAGCCTGGCTGTGTCCTGCTGCTGGGCACCTCCCGTTGTCTCCTCCTCTTGACCTTTCCCTGTGCCAGGAGATGTTTGGTCACGCGGCCTGAGATGACCATTGGCTGGACGTCAGCCAGAGGTGGGCGGTGCAAAGGGCGTTACCTCCACAGAAAATCCAATTCCAAACCCACTGCCTGACATTGGTTCTGATTCATGGTGACCCCACAGGACAGAGGAGGACTTAGCACTGGGCTTCAAGTCTGCCATCTTTCAAGTGCAGCCTGCCACGTGTTCTCCTCGTGAATCCACTGTGCTGTGGGGCCCTGGTGGCTAAGAAGGCATCTTAAACGTTCCTTAGTGGAAGGCAGGGTCAGGCCAGCCCTAAAGTGTCTCCTGCTTGACGTATGATCCATTTGATGTTTCTCACACTGCAACCCCAAAGGCACAAGGTTTGACTCTACCACTGCCCTGTGAGAGCAGGATGGACAACCTCTTCCTGTGTGACTTACTGCCTCTGAAAACCTGCTGGAGGGTCAGCTATGGGTCATTTCCTACTGGACAGCACATGTACAATATCGGGGAAGTGTGGTGGCCCCTTTGTGGCCTCATGGCTGTCAGGTGACGCTGACCAAGCTCGGACACCTCAAGTTTTCTTCCTTGGAAGGTTTTCCTTTCCCACCAGCCAGGAGGAGGGGAACCATGGGTGCCTCTGAATCTAGCCTCCCAGTCCCCACTGTGCAGCCCAGACCCCTTGTCGGAATCATAGGTGGGCCCCCCACATTCCTTTAAACCCGAGACCCGAGGAGATTAAGGAGACAGCCTGGTGATCCGCTTCCTTAAAGATTCTACTCTGGAACACATGGGTCGAAATTGGCCTTCCACTTCAAAGACTAAGGTCTGCCTGCGTCAAGCCAGGGTGTTTCCAGTGGCTTCCTATGAGCGTGACAGGCTTCTGATGAGCAAGGAACCACCACAGGAGTATTGATGCCTTTATATTGAGGTGTTGGTGAAGTGTCGTGAATATATGCAATTGACTTCTCAAAGAACAAACAGATATGTCTTGGAAGAAAGTGCAACTAGGGTTCTCATTAGAGGCAAGGATGGTGAAACTTCATCTCACAAAATTTGGACATTTTCTCAGAAGGATCAGTCTCTGGAGAAGGACGTCATGTGGGAACAGGTCGAGGGTCAACAAAGGACCTTCAACAAGATGGTCTGACACAATGCCTGCAGCAGGGGGCTGGGGACAGAGGGGACTGTGAGAATGGCACAGGGGAGGGCAAGGCTTCTGTCATTTATGGGATCGCTGTGCATCACAGGCGTCCTGACGACACCTGCTATCAACAAACAGCCCCAGAGAGCAGCTGTGACTCTGTAACAGTGGTGTCTTCTACGGCGCGGCACCTCCACTGATTCAGAGAAGGTGGTCAGTTTACAGATGACAGTGGTGCCTCTGCCAGCTTACCTGGCTCAGCTGCTCTGGGCGGGACTCTGACTTTCCATGATCTGTAGTTACTCTCAGCGTCACTACCTGAGCGGTGCAACTTGGTCTTTTTAAAAATGTCTTTTGATCTGGGTGGAAGTTTACAGAACAAACCGGTGCTGTTGATTGCAGTCCCTACAATGTGGGGTTCGCACAGATTTGACACTGATGTGCCAAATGCGACAATGGTTACCCATGGTGGACAGTGTTTGGTGGAGCTTTCCGAGTGAAAAAAAAACTTGGAAGCAGGAGTGGCATCCACTTCCGAAATGGCTTGCCTCCAGAGATTCTATGAACAGTGCCCAGGCCTCTTGTTCAGAGGGTCGCTATGAGTCGTCTACGACTCAATGGCACCTAACAACACCACAATGTGGCATCACTAGTCCCTCCCCTCTGTGTATCCCCTTCCATTCATCCTCTCATACTTTCTGAACATCCGTTCATACTTTCTGGGCTTTGCCCCTACCCAGAGGCTGCTTTTCTGATCTGCTCAGGTGCTTGGTTCTAAGGGCTGAGCACCTCTTGGCGCTCTGTTCACCTTACAGGCTTGTCCGTTGTTTGGGAGAACGCTGAGTCGGTGGATTCGGTTCTAGGCACGAAGGGTGGCAGGTTGGTTTCAGTAACTCCTGCTTCTTGTTCCTAGGAATTGTCCGCCTGCGGGATGGACTGCGGGATCGATACCCCGTGGAGGATTATCTGGACCTTTTTGACCTGGCTGCACATCAGATTCACCAAGGACTACAGACCGGTTCTGCCCAGGAAGAGAGCAAGATGAACAGTATCCTCATCGGTAGGATTCCTACACAGCTTCCGGCGGAGGGGAGGGGAGTCTTCTCTCACCGGGGCGGGACAGCCTCCCCTGCACCTGCTCCCCTTGCAGGCCAGGCCCGCCAGCATGAGGCCGTCTGTGGAGTTGTGGAGCAGACTGACACATCTTTCCCCCTTGAAGCAGCTGAAGGCTTTGAACTGATGATGTCAGTCTAACTCCTGCACAAAATGCTCACGTCACTGGTAGTCTCACTAAAGCACAAAGCCTGGACTTGCCAGTGCACACCTGGTGTGAATTTCCTTTCCACAGTTGCCATTTCTCTGGAAACCCCTGCTTTGTTTAAAGGCAGCACTCAGACTTGACTTTTCACGATCTAGGGAATCTGAGTATGCTCAGGTGGGGATCATCAATGCAATGACTTGATTAGTCATCAATTTCATGCTCGGAGCTTTTGTGAATGTTGACAGGTAAGACCAGAGGGAACATGTCTTTGAAAAGACTCCCTTCAAAACCTGTGACTAATAGCTCTTTAAAAAGCTGCCCTTGTCAACCCCAGACCTTTAGATTTCAGAGCTGCTTGGTTTATAATTTTTTTTAACAAGTGTTATGTAAAAAAAAAGTATAATTGCTCTTTCATTGTCTTGATCTTAGAAGTTTGCATCCACTTATTACTTTCAAAAGCGAGAAACGAAGTCATATTTTGCTTAACTTGGTCAGCTGAGGTGGCAGCTTGTTTCCCGTTGCCCCAGAGCTGTGGCGTTTTGCTCTCCCAAGGGAAGGAGCTTGTTGGGGCCAGAGGTCACGTTAGGATGGTGGCTCTTTATTCTTGCTCCTCACGTGCAAGGGGACAGCCCCAAGTTCGTCAGCCAGGTGGGGCCGTGCCTCCACTCCTGGCTGGTTGCCATCTTCTGCAGCTTTGGGGGTGCAGATATGACCAACCCCAAAGTTCTGACAAGTGAAGAGTATGTGCTCCAGAACCAGGGAGTGGAGACGAGATACGGAGTGAAAAGAGAGAGCTTGCTTTGATTTTAATGTCCTGCTGCTAGGCCAGAGGTTGGCAGTTTGAACCCAACCAGTGGCTCTTTAGGGTGATGTTTTCATAAAGGTTCCACTATTCACCAGCCGCTGTTGAGTCAACTGGGACTCAGAGACCCTGTGGGACAATAGGACCAGCCCATTAGGCTCCCAGGACTCTAATCTTTATGGAGTTGACTGACGCGTTTTCCCCCTTGAAGTAGCTGATGGATTTGAACTGATGACCTTTGGGTTAGCAGCCAGGTACTCTAACCATGGCACCACCCAGCTCCTCTCAAACAGATTGCAGCCTAGAGATCCCCTTCTAGGAGTTCTGCTGTCACATGGGGCTGCTCTGAGCTGAAATCGACTCCAACATACCCAACAACAGTAGGTTTTCAAAAAAGAAGACTAAGATTACTGTTTCTATTTACCTAACGCAGATTTTGGTGTGTTGCCTGGTGGCTTGGTGGCGGGATAAGCAAGAATGAGAGGCCTGTGAAAAGCTGGGATCTACGCCGCTGGTGTGACCGGCAGATCTGTGCTGTGTGACAAAGACAGGCTTCGTGGTCCTGAACTCAGTGTGTGCATCTGTAAAATGGGATTCTTGGACCAGATCAGTCCTGAACTCTTCATGCTTCAGCTGTGCCTCGTCTTCCTCTTGGTTGGGTGCTTGGTGGAGGTGTAAGGTTCTCAGCTGTCGTGGGCCCTGGGTCAGGAGACGCCTTTCCTCTGTGGTCTTGCTAATGCAGGAATCTCACAGAAGATTCTGGATTGGAATCAGTGGTTCTTTGGGGCTGGGACTTCAGTCACATTGAAAGGCACCCAACTCTTCCCTCATGGCACTCAACCCTGTGAGACACCAAGTGGTACTGGGCTTGCTTTTTACATTGTCTGTCTGTCCTTTGACTATGCGGTTCAAAAATGGAAGGTCCATGTCTGTCCTGTTTTGCTCAAATATCTGCAATGCCGAGCACCATACCTGGCATATATGTTGTTGTTAGGTGCTGTCAGTCGAGTTGAGTATGACTCACGATGATCCTATGAACAACAGATCTGAATCCTGTCCTATCCTGTGCCATCCTCGCACTTCCTGACACATAAGAGCCCATTGTGGGAGTCACCGTGTCAATCCACCTGGTTAAGGGTCTTCCTCTCCTTTACGGACCCTCCACCTTTCCAAGCCTCATGTCTCTTTGCAAGGAATAGCCCCTCATAGCAACATATCTGAAGTATGTGAGGCAAAGCCTCATCAACCTTGCCTCCAAAGAGCACTCTGGCTGCACCCTCCAAGACGTATTTGCTGTTTCTTTTGGGATGTTCAGTGTTCTCCAACACCGCAGCTCAAAGGCATCAATTCTTCTGTCATCCTTATTCATTGTCCAGCTTTCAGATGCATAGCAAGTGATTGGAAAGACTATAGCGTGAATCAGACACACCTTAGTCCTCAAAGTGACATCACTACTCCTCGGTAACTAGGAGGGGTCCCTAACTGCAGACTTTACCGGTGCAGCCTCCTGATTTTCTAACAGCTGGTACCAAGGCTGTTAAATGTAGATCCAAGTAAGATGAAGTTATTGACAGTTTTTATCTCCTCTCCTTCCATGATGATGCTGTCTTTTGGTCCAGTGGTAAGAATCTTTGTTTTCTTGACATTGAGATGCAATCCATATTGAAGGCTGCATTTCTTGGTCTCTGCAACAAGTGATTTATGTCTTCCTCATTTTCAGCAAGCAAGGTTGTGTCATCTGCATAACACAGGTTATTGATAAGTATCTCTCCAACTCTAATGCCACATTCCTCCTCATAGAGTCCAGCTTCTTGAAGAATTTGCCCAGCATACAGATTGAACAGGTGTGGAGAGAGAAGCCAACCCTGACACACTCCCTTCTTAATTTTAAATCATGTAATGTTCCCTTTCTCTGTTCACACAACAGCCTCCTGGTTTAAATACAGGTTTTGCATGTGCATAGTTAAGTGATCTGAGATTCCCATTCTTCTCAATGTTAGCCATAACTTGCTAGGATCCACACAGTCAGTCAATTCCTTTGTGTCATCGGTAAAGCACAAATGGACATTCTTTGGATATTCTTTACTTTCAGGTAGGATCCATCTGACATCAGCAATGGTGCCATGGTCTCTTCTAAATCCTGCTTGAACTTCTGCCAGTTCCTATCTATGCATTGTTCTAGCTGTTTTTGAGTAATCTTCAGCAGTATTTTGCTTGCATTTGATATTAATGATAATGTTTGTTAGTTTCCACATTCTGTTGGATCGCCTTTTTTGGGAATGGGAACAAATACGGACCTCCTCCAATCCATTGGCCAGACGGCTGTCCTTCAAATTTTCTGGCATAGACTGGTGAGCACATCCAGGGCTGTGTCTGTTAATTGAAGCAAGTCGATTGGTATCCCATAGATTCCTGGGGCCTGCCTTCAATTCAGCTTCCACTTCCTCCTACATTACTCTTGGCTCCTGCTCATACGATACTTCCTACAAATTTTCAATGTTAGTCAGTTCTTTCTAGTATAGTGATTCTCCATCTTCTTTTGATGCTTTCTGGGTCATTCCATAGATTGCCCATAAAATCTTTCAACATCACGACTTGAGGCTTGAATTTGTTTTTTCGTTCTCTCAGCTTGAGAAATGCAGAGCATATATATGAGATGCCTGCCATATAGATATATCAGATGCCAAATCAGAACTGGATTGACGATTTATATGGGTGTATATGGATGGACAGTTAACTGGATAGATGAGTGGGTGTGGATGTGGGTAGATAGGTGAGTGAGCAAGTCAGTAGATGGGGGTTAGGTAGATAGGTAGGTGAATGGGTAGAAGAATGGCTGGATGGGTAGAGGGGTGGGTGGTTGTGGATGGATGGATGAGTGGTGGATGGATAGACAGGTACATGACTGGGTAGATGGATAGATAGATGAATAGACAGATGGATGGAAAATGTTTCTATGGTTGTAGAATCAGCTCTTCATCTGAGTTCTGACTGAGTTTGTGGAAATTTATATTTAGATGCTGTCTTTTCTCTTTCTTTATTCATTTTGAGCATGTCTTTCAAAGGACTTCTGACTGACTTGTCTCCTGCATGTCCTTGGGTGTCTCTTAAAGGAAAGGCCAGAGCAGAAGTGCCCCCTCGGGGGTGGCTGCGTGCAGCCAGCTTCTGTTCTGATGCCCTTTTCACTGGTCAGGACACTTGGACTTCTGGCCAACATTTTCCTGAATAAGGGATTTTGCAATGCCCTATTGTCCTGTGTGAAATGTTAAGAAAGCAGTGTGTAATTGATTCATTGATTTGCTTTTCTTTCTTGTTCTCTGGAGAGTGTCCAAAGAAAAATGAAGGAAGCAGTGCTGTTACCCGAGAAGGTTCTATGTTGTTGACAAAGCTGTGTCTTGGCCTTTGCCCCTCCCACACGGGGTGTTTAAGGTCCTCCCCCCTCGGGCCTAGGCTCGTGATAAAGCAGAGACTAGAGTGAATAGCCTCTGTCCTCCCTGTCACAAATGATTGCGTGACAGCTGTTTGCAGGGTGGTGGGAAAGGCAACCAGGTGGAGTGATAGCAAAGAATAATTATGTAGGTGGTCATGTCGGGGGACAGGAAGGTGATCATGGTGGGGGGTGATGAGAAAGTGGCTGTATAGGTGATGGGGTTGGAGGTTGTTCAGGGTAGTGAGGTAAGTGACTTTTGGGGGTGCAGAATCCAACACTGAGGTCCTACCAGCCTACAGGCAAAGCCTTTTCTTCTCACCTGATCTCGGGATGGCTCTCGGTGACCCACTGTTGTGGTTTTGGTGACTTATTCAGAGGGGTTTCCTAACTTCTGGTAAGAGTCCAGGTTCCCACTCATTCGCCCTTGCACATTCTGAAGAAAACCACCCAGTGCATTCTCAGTGGGCTACCTGGCTTAAAATGCCGTACCACGACATGCAAGGACACTTTGTAAGGTTGTGAGCCCCCTCTATGAATCCTGGGAAAGCGTGAGTGCACCAGAGAGACAGGAGCTGTGAGGTGGGACCATCTATGTGGCAGACCTCACCTTGCTTTCCAGACACAGGTCTCTGGGTGCCTCTGGGAGCAGGTGGTCGTCAGCCCCTGCTGACCTTGGATGACCCTCCTGAGGCCATGGCTAGGCCAAGGGGGACCCTAGAGCCAGCTCTGGCCTCTGTTCTCAGGTGCTTGATGGGGAAGACTGTCCCCAGCAATTGCTCACATGTGGTGCTTCACCTGCAGGGGAGGCCAGCGCGTCCACTATGTGGGACAACAACGCTTGGACCTTCTTCTATGAGAACAGCACAGACGGCGAGCCGCCCTTCCTGATCCAGGACTTCATCCATGCCTTCCAGCCCCACGTCAAGCTGATTGTCATGCTCAGAGACCCCGTGGAGAGGTGAGTGCCGAAGGCTGAGGAGAGAGACACCTGTTTCCCTGCTTGGCTCTCCTGTCCCCCAAGGTGTCTCACACACTGAACCCAACCGTGAATGCGGAAGCATAAAACCAAAGAGAGTATAAAAAAACCAAACCAAAACCAAAACCCCAAAGAGCACATCCAGCTGATGGGGGAGTGCCGAGAGGCTGAGCTGGCTGGGCGCGCGTGAAGGTGCCTGTCGCACATCACACAGTGTGGCTCCTGTGGGCCCACTTGGCTCTTCCCTAAGGGAAAGGTAATTAAAACTTTGTTGCGGTTAAATACATACATACGTCTGTATGTTGTTGTGTGCTGCTGCGTCAGAACCGACCCATGGCTGAGCCTCCAGCAGGTTTTCAGAGGAAGCAAATCACATGGAAGGAGATTGCACATCATTCTGTTGAGCAGCTGGTGGATTTGAGCCTTCTGTCTTTGGGATTGCCTGTACAAACACACCCAGATATACAGGAAGTTCTGGTGGCTTAGTGATAAGGAGTTGCACTGCCAACCCAGAGGTAGGCAGTTCAAATCCACGAGTCACTCCACAGGAGAAAGATGAGCCCTGTCCTCTCGTACAATTTACAGCTTCTGAAACCATCTGGAGGGTCAGCTGTGAGTTGGTTCCAAAACGGCACGATGTCCTCTTTCTCCCTGTCTGTCTGGATCTCTCTGGCATCTGCTGACAGAGTCCGTCGTCTGTCTGTGCTGATGACCCAAAGGCCTGTCTCCAGCTGTGAGGCCACCAGCAGCTCCTCAGCGGGAGGATGGGCTTTCTCCTTCCTTTACATGGAATCCGTGGCAGGGAGGAAATGTATGCATATCCTCATTACACATACAGGGGAGTGCTGGTGGCCTAGTGGTAAGAAGCTGTGCTGGAATCCCAAAGGAACAGGGTTTGAACGCACTGTCTGCTCTGCTCGCACAGGCTGGATACTCTCCTCCTGAGTAATTTACAGCCTCTGAAAACCTGCGGGAGGGTGAGCTATGGGTCAGTTCTGACTCGCCAGTATATCACCACCACCACCACCACCACC